TCAGCTGTGCTCTTCCGACCCGGAGCAGCAGCCCCGAACCTATCTAAAACCACAGCGTCATCTGCTCTGGCAGGGGGAGCAGGGTGATGGTGGGGCTCTGGCCCGAGCAGCTGGGGGACGCTGGTGTGTTCATGGGAGGAGGAGTGGAGGAAGAAGGGTGAGAACCCCTGCAATCCCACCTCTGTACTTTCGCGAGGTGCTTCCCGAACCAAGGCTGCTGGGGCCTCACGCTCGCTAGGCAGCCAGCCGGTCTGGCCCCGGGACTGATCACCGTGGCCCTTGCTCTACACCCCTGTGGCAGCACTCTGGGGCCGGAGGAAATGCACCACCCTCTGGGCCACTCACCCATGCACGCTTCGGACGAACTTCTCCAACTGCCGCATGCAGGACCTGGCTTCAAAGTGCTTCACCCGCGGCTCCCCATAGGCTCCAATGTCAACATAAAGCTCTGCCTCATCTCCCTTGGGGTGCACCAGGCCCGGCTGGCTGGGCAGGATGAACGGGCACAGCCAGATGGGGTAGACCTGGGTGGACCAGGGAGAGGGGCATTGGTGCTTTTTCTCCAACAGGTGACAGGCTCACGGCTGGCCCACCCCACCCCACCCCTCCCCAGGGAACCCCCTCTCTGGCTTCACTCCCAATCCCCCAGGCCGCAGCCGAGAGCACCTCCATTTCACCGCATTAGTGGACACAATGTGCTCACAGAAGTGCTCATTAGCAGCCCCCATGCCTTTGCTGAGCCATCAGGGCTCCCCATCAGGAGCCCTGAGCAGGCCCGTTTTACAGCTGGGAAAACGGAGGCCCAGAGGGCAAGCGTGCCCAGGATCAGTCCCTGCCCCGGCTCACGTGGATATCGTTGTGGAAGGTGTGCACAGCCTGCGACAGGCACTTCATGGGCACCAGCATGTCCTGCACCACGTGGTGCTGCTCGTACAGCTTGCGCAGGGTCTCTCCCTGGGTCAGCTTCAGGAGGGAGATCTTGGGAGGCACCATCCAGCCAAAGAGGTAGCGGAAGATGGGGTTGTTGCCGAAGGGGATGATGTCCTGAAAGACAAAGGCTGGCGATAGAGACAACAGGCCCACGAAGGCTGTGTCTCCATGCGTCAGGGCCAGGTCCTTGGTCCGTGCTCGGGGAAAGCGTGACAGGACACACTCCTCCAGCAGGAGGGGCACGGTGGTACCCGGGATTTGCCCAACCGGGTCTGGGTTTGATTCTCAGCTCGGACATTTACCCACTGCGACGGCCTGGGGTGGTTACTTAACCTCTCTGAGCGTTGTTTCCTTATCTGTAAAACAGGACTTGAGGGAACAACGAAATACCAACTGGAAGGCACTCAGCCCAGTGCCTGGAGCAAAATAAGGTAGTTATAATTGCTGGTTTTTTGTTGGGGTCAGAGTGGCTGGCACAGAGAGGCATTTCATAAGTGGTTGAAAAATACATGCTGTTGAACGAGAAAAGCGATATTCAGAGAGCTTAAGCAATTTCCCTGAGGTCGCACAGTCAGGGGAGGCTCTCACTGGAGTGGGCAAGGTCTGGCTCAGGGTCATCGACAAGCCCACTGGTTCACAGCATCCCCCGAGAGCCTTCTCTGACTCCTATTCAACGTGTTACCGCTCCCCACCCCTCCATGCACAAAAGCAAATTCTTCGTCACCTTTCAAGGCCAAGCTTGAGAGCTACCTCCGACCCTAGGCAGAACTAGCCACTTCTCTTCTCGTGCCTGTGGCCCTTCACAGCCTACCCCCCCAATTCGACCACACCCTGCACTGCCCACCAGCTCCTCCAGGGCTCCCACCAGCTGGCAAGCCTGCCCAGCCCCAACAGCGGAGACCTTGGCCCCCAGCTCAGTATCTTCCCCCTCCTCTTGCTCCAAGTCTGTCTTCCCAAGTGTCCTTGTCCACCTGCTACCCCATTCTTGAAGCCAAGGACATTCCTGTCCTCGTTCAACAAGTAGGAGGTTCCATGCTGGTCGCTGGGGTGATCCCTGTCCCTGTCCTCAGGTGATGAAGAGACAGGTCATGGGACTACCGTGTGGGGAGAGCTGGGACTAAAAGACGCAGGGCCCACATCAGCAGAGGGGTCAGTGGTGGCTTCCCAAAGGAAGCAGGGTGCTGAGTTTGGAGGCTGAGTGACTCCTCCCTCCTGTCCCCTGGAAGCGGCTCTCCCGCTGGCAGCCTGCTCCCATACGGGAGGGACCTGTCTGCGCTCTGCTCTGCTGTTGGGTCCCGGCACATGACACGGGAGCGCAATGTGCAGCACGGCTTTTATTGTTCCCTCGCTTGCTTTCGGAAAAGCCACACACGCCCACAGCAGAAATCCCAGCAGTCCAAAGGTCAGGCCTCCTTTCCCGTAGTCCCTCACCCCGTTTCCCCCCTTAGTCCCGAACCCACTTCCTTCCTCCCCGACCCAACTTCCTTCCCCTCCCCAAACGCAACCACCGTTAGGAATCAGAGACATCTCGTGCACAGACAAGCAGATGGGCTTAAAAAACAACAGCTCCCTGGGGAGCCCGGGGGGCTCAGTCAGGTGAAAGGCTGACTGATATCGGCTCAGGTCGTGATCTCAGGGTCGTGGGATCAAGCCCCGAGCTGGGGCTCAGCGCAGAGCCTGCTTGATTCTCTCACTCTGCCCCTCCCCCACCTCAAAATAAATAAATCAACAAATAAAGACAGCTCACAGATGGCATCTAACAGCCTCCTGCTCATCACTGTCTCCTGTGCATCAGCACACAGAGAGCCATCACACATGCTTGGTCGTGGGTGCCTAACACCGTAGTTACTGCAGGGACCCACAAACTCGGGCTCCTGGGGTAAATCTGGTCCACAAATAACATTTTACTGGGATACAACCAGGCCCATTCATTTACATATTGTCTATACGGGTAGAGGGAGCCTCTCGAGTGACCTCATGGTCCACAAAACCTAACTATTATCCGGCCGTTCACAGAGAATGTTTGCGGATCATTGCTCTCCTATATGGATGTTCCTTGATTGATTTCATCCGTTCCCTACTGATGAGCACTTAGATTATTTCCAGACTGTTCCAACGAACGTCCTTTGTATATGTATCTTTGCCCATCTGCACGTTCATTTACCTGTAAGATAAATCCCTAGAAGTGGAAAATTCTGGTTCAAAGAGTATATGCAATTTCAATTGCATTTTGCAATTGTATATTGCATATTGTATATTGTATATTGTGTATTGTATATTGCAATTTAAAGACTTTGTACCATTTTATACCCTCCCAAACAACACAAGAGAGCGCTGTTTCCCCACACTCAGGCCAAACAGCGTTCTCCCACTTCTGCCTCGCCGTCATCCTGAGGGTGACAGATGAGACTCCTGTAGTTTTGTTCCACCCCGTCTTTAACGACGAGTGGGACCCATCACCTCTCTCACGTTTAAGCGCCTTTTGTATTTTTCCCCTAAAAACAGTCCTTTGTTGCCCGCAAGGGTCAGCTAGAACCATTCCTTTCCCCAAATCTCAACCTCAGAAAAGTTCAAGTTTTAAACAGCATGCCCCGTCCCGCCCTTCTCCTTTCCCACCTGTCCGCCCCATCATTCATCTTTTCTGCCTCTGAGTGACCTCAGGTCCCGTGTCCCTGGCTTCACTCCTGGTCCCCTGCTCTTTGCCTGCCCTTGCCTTTTACCTGGGCCCAGCCTGCTACTGGCCTGTTCTGCTCTGCTGGGCCCCACTACAGATCCAGGGGGCCTGGCCTGAGCCAGGACCCCAAACCTCAAAGGCAGGCCCTGTGGCAATGACGTTCTAAGAAACATGAACAGCCAAGAACCCCATGTAACATTTCCCACTTGTGTTACTTCCCTGTATTAGCCAGCCACTTACGCCGGCTGGCAATGAGGACATAAGAGGGAAGGGAAAGGGGGGGCTGCTCAGAGTCTTCTTCCTCTTCAGTCCTTCCTTACTTGTTAGTAAGCCGCCCTGGAGTGTTCGTGGAACGTGCATGTCACCGGGAGGGGAGATAAAAATAGCTGAGTTGGTCTTGTGCAGCATTTCTACTGGTCCATTAAGAACGAAACTCATATGCATGAAGAGTTAAACGCTCTTACATTTGTACTTAAAAGATGAACAGTAAAGTCATTCCAATAATTTAAGTTAATAATTTTTCTTTACTTAGAACATTAAATAGCAAATATTTATGAAGAGAGAGACTGTGGGAGAAAAGAAAAGGCTTTATCATTTAGTGCCTTTGATGGTACTTTTCCCCTGCTTTCTGCACTGGGCCCGGCAGATCACGTAGCTGGCCTTGACCCCAGGTACTGCTGATTAACTGAGCTGGGTGACGGAAGGGCTGGCCCAGGTATGACAGGAACGGACTGGGCAGTTCAGCACCCAGGCCAGGTCACGTTTTGTTGATTAAAGGGTGGATTCAGCAAGGAGGAACTAGGGGTATAGGGCTGCCTGGAGGAGGAGGAGTTAACCTCAGGGGAGGGGGAAAAGACTTGCAGGTGACATGGTTTATTACCCCTTCTTTCTAGAAGTCCCAGCTTCTGCAATCCCACTGTCATGGACACTGTGGTGCTCTACCCAGATGCCCTGTGTGCAAATGTCCATTGTAAATCACCCATCATACAAGATTCTGCCTTTAACTTCAGGCCGGACAGCCACTGCTTAACAGCACAAAAATATAAGACAAACCTCATTATGAATTCTAACTCTGTAATCTTAAAAAACCCACAAATTCTGGGGTGCCTGGGTGGCTCAGTCGGTTGAGCGTCCGACTTCGGCTCAGGTCATGATCTCGCGGTCTCTGAGTTCGAGCCCCGTGTCGGGCTCTGTGCTGACAGCTCGGAGCCTGGAGCCTGCTTCGGATTCTGTGTCCCCCTCTCTCCCTGCCCCTCCCCCGCTCATGCTCTGTCTCTCTCTCTCTGTCAAAAGTAAATAAACATTAAAAAAAAATTTTTAAATAAAAAAAACAACCCACAAATTCTTTGCTACTCCGGTTGAGCGTGGGCTGGACTTGCTCTAACGAACAGCACGGGGCGGGGGGGGGGGACTGGCGGAGTGAGGAGACAGGTCATAATAGGCACCGAGGCCCCTGCTGCCTTGTCGTGAGGACACTCGAGCAGCCCACATGGCAAGGAACGGAGGCTTCTTGTCAACAACCGTGCGAGGGAGCCTTCTGGAAAGCAGATCTTCCATCCCTGGGCAAGCCTCCGGATGACACTTGACTGCAACCCTAAGCCAGAGCCACCCAGATCACTCCCCAATCCCTGACCCTCAGAAAGCTGTGACAGAACCAAAAATGAGAGTCATAATCTGGCAGATGTTTTAATGCTCTAAGTTTGGGGTAGTTGCTAATATACTCGATCTCTTACTGAGTTGCGTTACTTTGGAAGACCTGAGCCTCAGTCTCCCCATCTGTAAAGTGGAAAAGACCAGAGAACTCCCCCTCCCAGGGCTGTGAGGAAGATCAAGATCATGCGAGCACGGGGTCTGGCACAACGGCTAACGCGTGAGGAGCGATTACTGCACGTCACTGCTACCTCTCGGATGCCCTCCCCAGTGTCCTCTGCTGGTCCTCGTTCTCTTGTCTCTTCAATGTCCTTGCTCTTAACAAAGACACTCCCTATGGTGTCTCCCGCATTTGGCAAAACTGCCCGCCAACTGCTGGGCCTTGACACTGTCCGAGGGAGGGCTAACGGAGGTGGGGGAATCCCCGAGGCCCCCGGTCTTGATGACTCTCCATGCCTCACTCCTCCAACTTCGCACCACGGCCCCATCACATTCGGCCCGAGAGACCTATTAGAACTGACCACCTCCTCCTAGGAGACCACCGGGCTTAATTCCTTTAGGCCTGTCACCCCTGTTTAACCTAGTCACCAGGGGCTTCCAGGTGCCCCGTTACCTGTTACCTGCTACTGCAATGCAACACCCCCTTGTCTCCCAGGCCCTCCCCTGTGCTCTCGTGGTCTGACATCAGCAAAGCCCCCCCTTTCTCAATCTCTTCTCTCAATATTGTCTTCCTCTCCCTGCTCTCAGCTGGAGCCTGGCTGGCCCCTGCAGGCCTCCTCGGCGGTATCATTTCCTCTCCCACGACCATCTGGGGTGGATGGAGGTGAGGGAGGGGGCTCACACTGCTTCCTGCTGCCTCATTGGTGCTTCCCGACCGCCGTTCCTCTCCTCCAAAGGCCCTCAGCAACTTTGGTGGTAGTTGCACAAGATCATGAAGGTTCTAAATGCCACTGAATTCTATACATTAGCCTGTTTGAGGACCCGCGCTCTGGCTCTTCCTCTGCCTGGAACGCTCTCCCCCCGAGCCCTGCCTGGCTTGCCCTCCCCTGCTCGGGTCCCTGCTCACAAGTCACCCCCTGAGAGGCCTTCCTGACACCCCTGTTTCAAATGTCACTTGCTCCTCACTCCTCCATGCACAAAAGCAAATTCTCGCTCACCTTTCAAGGCCAAGCTTGACAGCCACCTCTGACCTTAGGCAGAACTAGCTGCTTCCGCTTCCTGTTCCCGCGGCCCTTCACGGTGCCAGAGTCTGTCAGCTTGGCGAGGCTGCCGTCCCTCAAGGGCGGAACAGGTGTCTGTTCTGCCAGGTACCTGGCCCCGCGCCCCACTCGGTGGCAGACGCTCGATGCCAGCCTGCTATTAAGTGAGAGCGGTCTGTTCCCCCCGGAGAGGAACGACCGTGTCGCCGTGCAACAGGGTGTCTGGTTCCCTGGGACAAAGCTGCTCTTTCCCCCAGGGAGACAGTGCGGTTGCAATGCTAGCCATCCTGGTTCCCCGCCCGGCCGGCCGGGGCAGGCCGGGACTCCTGGGAAATCCGAGCCTCACCTGGAGCTCCCAGAAGATGCTGCGGGTGTGGCGGTGGTAATAGTGTCTCAAGGGAATGTACTCCAGGCCCCCCTCGTTTGCCTTCAGGTAGTTCTCCACGTGCTTGAAGAACCAGGGCTTGTAGTAACTGCCAATGCTATTCAGCTGCAATGACAGAGGGCATCGTGTCAGCTACAGACGGGGACCGAACGCCACCAAGGGTGTGACGGTGATACCCGGCTTCGGTTCCGCACCCCTGGCCTTTTCACAGCGTTCATGTCTATCACCACCCTCGAGACTCCTGAAAACCCAGCGAGGCCGAGCGCAGCGGGTATCCTGTTAGCGGAGCGTGGTCACGCGGTGCGCCCAGGGCCTGACAGCCAGTTCCCGACAGCCTAGAGGGCTCAGCCACCCCTCCCCGCACCGGCTGCTGCCCCTCCTCGCTGGGAAAACGAAAGGGCAAACGTTGAACAACGCACGGCTCCAGGCAGGGAGCATTCTTCCCTCCCGCCAGGCTGACCCCTCGTCACCGGGTCCCGCGACCGACGGCACTGACCGTGGCACTTTCCCTGCCGCCTAGAGCGGGCCTCACGACCCTCTGGGCGCTGCGCTCCCCCAGGCAGCCCCCATCGGTGAAGGACGCTCAGAGAATGAACCTCAAGCTTTCCTGGCACCGGGGCCCGTGGCCCTCAATGCCTGAATCTCATAGGGAGCCAGTCTGCTTCAGTCCTAAATGCTTCAGGACTTCACAAGCCGTGTGCCCTGGGATGACTTAGACTCCCTGGGCCTCACCTTCTTCACCCAGGAAATGACATCCGGCCAGATGCTTTAGGAGAGAGGCAGGCTGGCAGCCCGGAAGGAGTGCCGGCTCCCGACCTGGGGCCAGACCCTGGCCCAGCCACCCGCCGTCTGACCTTGGGCAGGTCACCCTCTCAGCCTATTTCTTCACATGTAAAATGGCAGTAAAAATATAAACTCTGTGGCAGTTTTTCCGTGCTTCTTCGGAATCACACACACACACTGCCCTCGGGCCCCGGGTCAGACCACCTTCTCTAGGGGGTGGGAGAGGCATCTGAGTTTGATGGGGCGGGTGAGGTGAGATCACACCTGGCTGGGGCACAGCAAAGGGTTAGGAGAAAGCAGAGAGTAGAGGCCAGGCAGGAGGGGCAGGATGTTGCCGGGGGACCCTCAGAGAGGTAAAGGCAGGAGCAGAGGCAAGACGAGCAAGCCCCATGGTAGCTCGTGGAGGAGAAGAATCACAACAACATGCTCCGGGCAGGTGTCACTGGCACCTATGTGTTCGTTCTTTATCCCTTCCACAACCTTGCAAGGCAGAACCGTCCTCGTCTCGCTGATGAGGACACTGAGAGCCATCAAGGTTGAACAGAGCATCTGAGGCCACAGGGCTGGCAAGAGGCAGAGCAAGGACTCAACCCCTTTCCTTGTTGTACAACAAGGCCAAACCTGGGCAGCAGAGAACCTTGAATGGCGGCCTCTGGGAGTGTGAGCATTGTAAAAAAAAAAAAAAAAATCTATTAATATTTTCTCCCAATTCCAAAAGCGACGTAAACGCCTCGTGGACACTGGAAACACTGCAGAAATATGCAACTTGGAAAGAGGAGACCCCTTAGAGCCTCACCCTCCAGAGGAACCTACAAACACCACGGGGTATTCGGTTTTCTTTTCTGCGCATACACACTGATCTGTAAAAACGGGGTCATCCTGTACACTGTTTGCCAATTTGCTTGTTCTCCTTCCAACACACTGGGCGGACGCTGGGCAGGGTTCTTAGCCTCCCCGAGCCTTGCTTTCAGCACTGTATACTTCCTCCAGCAAAATGGAGCCATTACCCGCCCTGGAGTGGTTGGGAGACGAGAAGAGACAACGTGGCAAGTGCCCACCACGGCGCCCGCGCACAGGGCACAGCGGTCAACGTGAATGATGCTAAATTATAACACTGAACTAGGAGTCAGAGACCTGAATTTAAATTTGCCCCATGCTAGCTGGGTGGACTCAGAGAAGTCTCTTTCCCTCTCTGAGCCTCGTTTCTTTGTTTAGAGAAGGAATTGTACCAGATGATTTTCAGTCCTTTACAATTTTAAAATGTTTTAAATATACCGGTATAGATCAGGAGGCTGAAGAGTACCTATCCTTCGATGTACTTTCAGATGTTATTCCCTTCACAGACAAAAGATATTCATGGCTACATGAACTGAAATAAGGAAAGACTGGAAGCAACTTATTTCCAACTGTGCGGCGACGGTTTAGTAAATGACAGGGCGTTAGCTCAACACGATGTTCAACAGTCATGAAATGACCGTTTTGAAGGCAACGTAACCGCGTGGAGAAACGCGTACATCACACTAAACCAGAAAATGCCAATTTGAACAGGCGATCACAGCTGAGGACAAACAAACTGGAAAACCGGACAAAGAGATGTTCTAACCTCGAACGTGACCCGAAGGCTGCAAAATAAAACGAGATGCTATTTTTAACCCTATCAGATTGGCCAAAATGAAGGCGCGATCCTATCCAGTGCTGGCAAGGTGGGGGAAAGGCACTCTCACACGCCGTCACCAGAAGCGGACAGAAGCACAACTTTCCTGAAGGACTGTTTGCTTGTAGCTGTCAGTATTTAATATGCTCAAACCCTTAAGTCAGGAATTCCAAATTTTGGACTCAGTCCCACAGAGCTGCTTGCACAAGAGGCCAAGGAGAGATGGTAGAGAATCTTTGATGCAATCTTATTTGTAAGAGCAAAACACTTGAAGCAGGATAAATGTTCATCGCTGAGCAATGGGTTGGGTCAAATATTTACACGCAATCGCGGGACACCATGGCATGAAAGGAGGGCACGTTCACCTGCACACGTGCACACACCTTGAAGAATGTTCAGGGATGGGGCGCCTGCGTGGCTCAGTCGGTTGAGCGTTGCACTCGTGATTTCGGCTCAGGTCGTGATCTCATGGTTTGTGAGTTTAAGCCCTGAGTCGGGCCCTGCACTGTTAGTGCAGAGGATTCTGTCTGCTTAGGATTCTCTCTCTATCCTTCTCTCTCTGCCCCTCCCCTGTGCACTCTCTCTTTCTCTCTCTCAAAAAAAAAAAAAAAAAAAAAGAATGCACAGTGTTACAAGTAGTTGCTCTGGGAGTGAGCCTGGGGTAAAGAGACCCACTTTAACTTTTCCTTTTTCTTTATACACTTCAATATTGTTATGGGTAGAATAAACATATTCTAGACAGGTTGGGTCTTTTCCTTCCTTTCACTCATTTACACGTTCCAAGTCTCTCAGGAATACAAATCCCGAAAAAGCTGCTATTAAAAATTATACATTAAACGGCTATCAATCCAGATTCCGAGGCATCAAATCCATCCTTCAAATCTTGGTTCTGCATTTGGGGGATGTTTACATGACTTCTCGGAGCCTCGGTTTCCTCATGTATACAGTGCGGTTGCAGTGAAGATAAAGGTTACACCTATCAAGAGACACGCACGTATCTGGCAGGGGGTCAGGGCAGAGTAAATGGATGCTTCCATCCCTCAGACAGCTCTGACTTTAATTTTTTTTTTTTACATTTATTTATTTTTGAGAGACAGAGACAGAATGAGCGGGGGAGGGACAGAGAGCGAGGGAGATCCAGAATGTGAAGCAGGCCCCAGGCTCCGAGCTGTCAGCACAGAGCCCGACACGAGGCTCGAACTCACGAACCGTGAGGTCGTGACCCGAGCCGAAGTCGGACGCTTAACTGACTGAGCCACCCAGGGGCCCCAGACAGCTCTGACTTTAGATCTCAGGGTCCAAACCCCAGGTGGGCTGACCAAGGCCACAGCCTCAAAGAATGTGCTGCCAGGGTCAGGGTGGGGGAAGAGGCTCAGCCCCAGCCCACCCAGGCCTTCCTTCTCCCCAGGCCTTGGTCCTTGGCAGCTGACACCCTGGCCTACCTTGCTGGGCTCTGCCTCGTCTGTCATGACCCCTGTCATGATGACGGCCTCATCCAGGGAGTAGAGCAGTCCTTCCACGAAGTGGTTCTCCGGCCGCTGGGACTCACGGGCGAACTTGTCACAGATAGCCTCCAGGCCACGCACTGGCTCAAACCTCAGCTTGACGTACTTCTTGGCGGGGATGATGCGGATCTCGGCAGCCACCAGGAAGCCCAGGGTCCCACAGGACCACGGCACAGCGTAGAACAGGTCTGAGTTTTCCGACTGGGAGTCAGAGTCAACACATGCTGAGAGGGTGAATCCCCGGACCCCGCACCGTGGCACACAGGCAACGGGGTGCAAAGGACCCAGGGCCTCGGCTAAGTTCCTGCTGTCACTATCTCATCGTGTGAACCCGAGTAAGGAGCCCAGAAACATCAAAATGGGCCATTCCTCAAACCTACAAGGCTTTCTCAGTCCATTAGCTGTGAAATCCAACCTTCTCCTACCCCACCCCCCAGCCCCGCCCTGGCAGCCCAGAGCACTCACATTCCCACTTGAACAGTAAGGAAAGTGAGGCTCTAAGAAGTGGCAGGGCTTCTTCCCATGTGACCCGAGGCATCCCACAAGTCAGCACAGGGATGCCAGGGCTCAGGCAGGGTCACCTAAGTCCCGACCCAGCGTTCTTCCCGCAAGACCTCATCTGGTTCTGCCATCCGCTTCTAACCTTATCATTTCTCGTTTCGGTATTTGTCTTGGAGACTTCTCATCTGGTCCTTCTAATTCAGATTCTTTGATTTTAACAAAGCGCTTTTTGGAAACGTCTAGCTTTGGCTGGCCCTTACCCAAGAGGACAGTCCCGTGTGGTCACTGCGCATGCTGTATGCACTTGGTGCGGGCGGGGTGGGGTGCGCTGGGGCAGGGGACTGGAGCGGGGGAGCTCGGCAGCAGGCTGGCAGAAGTCTCTGGAACAGTGGAAGTGGGCCATCTGGGCCCCCACCTCACTACACTGTCAGACAGCAGCTGTAATAACTGGGTATCTGCCAGGTACCCAGCCTCTACATTAGGAGCTTCACATCTGGCATCTATCATCTCCTCCTGATGATGCATTTGTCAGGTGAGGAAAATGGGCCTCAGAGAAGGGGAGCGATTCTCGAATGTCTGTCTCCTTTCTCTGCTGGTAATAAACAGGTTGGAAGGCTGGGCCCAGGCAAGTGTTTCAGAAAACGTGCTGAATTGGTGTGAATCCTTGTCTAAGACCGGTGCTCTCAAGCCTGCCCCGGACTCTCTTCTGTGGGACCACCGACCCTGGTCACTCTCTGAACCATCTTCCTTTAAAGAGTCACTCTGTCCCTACCATCCAGGGGCCCCTTTGATAGGCTCGGCAATCTGAGTTTGTTTAAAGTCTCAATCCTGTCCCGCTCATTAGGGTAAAACACCTTAAATGTTTGCATCCCACTCTGGGCAGAATTATCTTTTATTTTTTCCAAACCACCCCTCTTGCCACTTTTAGTTACACCTCACAGCATATGGCATAGAGCTTTGTGGCTCAGGCCTGACTTCCCTGAGAGAGGCAGAACGGAGTGATAAATTGTTAAGGGCATTGATCTGGGCGCCTGATATTCTGGGTTTGAATCCCAGCTGTGTGGGATTTCCTCGCTGTGTGTCCCAGGAAGGTTTATCAACCTCTTTGTGTTTTAGTTTCCTATCTATAAGATGTGGCTAATAATATTACCTCAGGAAGTTATCGAAGGATTAGATGGCTTAATACGTATGAAACATTTATAATAGTATTTGAGCACGTGTAAGGGGTTATATCAATCTTTGTGATTATTATGAATACAGACCCAGACCGAACAGGTGTGTTTGAAGGGAAGCATCCCCAGGGTCCCTCCCTCCCCAACCCCCGGACCCTTGATGCCCAGGGCAGGCTGGTGGGATGTCCCCCGTCTCTGAACTCACCGGTGTGCATCGCACAAAGCTACCGTCAGCCAGGACCAGCTCGTAGGCGGTGCAGATGTGTTGGAACAGACCGTACTTGTGCGATGATGACTCAATGCCCGTGCCCATGATCAAGCCCCCTGCAGAGACACGTGTGTTAGCCAGGCAGAGCTGTGGGGTGCAGGTTCAAGGGGGATTGGGTAAAGGGCACTTCATGGGAGCTGGGGTTGCTCACAGCACAAGGGAGACGTGAGAGGGCTGGCTGCTTGGGATAGATTTCCCATCTCTTTGGATCTGGAGAGGAGAGGGAAGGAGGAGCTAGGACAGGACCTGAGGGCTTTCCCAGCGTAGGGGAACGGACATGAGAGCCTGTCAAAGGCGTTCACACCCTCACCTCTGGCCAGACCCAGCTTAGAAAACCATGTTCATTCATCTTAAGAGAGACCTTGATGAAAAGGGGGGTTGTCTGGGTGGCAGGATGCCATGCTCTGTGGGAATAGTTACAGGAGCTAAAGGTGTTTGCCCTGGAAAGGAAAAGCTTTGGGGATCATGAATCCTGAGGAAGAAGAGAGGGACTAGACTTATTGTGTTCACTCTACAAGGCAGAACTGGAATAACGGACATGAGTCACAGGGACGCATATTTGCACCAGAGAGGAGAAGGTGCTGCCTAATAACCTGAGCTGCTCAGAGATGGAAAGGTAGGCAGTGAACGCCCTGCCTTTGGCGCTAGGTGGACAGAGGTGGTGGCTTCTGTCATGGATGGAATAGTGGCGGCCCCTGAACCAACACGGTGCCTCAGCTCTGACCCTACAGTCCTCACCCACTGTGAGGTCATCCAGCTCGGGCAACACAGGCAGGGTCCAGCCAATGGAAGTCAGCAGGGCAGTCACCTGACCCATGGTCACCAAGGGTTCCACACGGACAATCTGTTGACACAAGAAGAGAGACCCTGGGTCACAAGGAGGCTGCAAGGGCTACTGGGGGCTTCTCCACACAGAAGGTGTCATCCCAAACCTTCTCACACAATCACACAGGATTTCTACATGCCGTTTATGGCCTCTTTCTAGAATATGCCACTAGCTTTCGCTACAGTGAATGGGGTTTCTGGTGCTGGGTTTGCTAGTGTTTAATCTCGTCCTTTCAAATATCGTTACACTTAATACTTAGATTATTTTTCTTTGAGATTATAGAAGTGCTCATTTATTTGAAAGAAACCGCATATATGATAAAGACAAAAATCATCCATCCTACTTCTTCGTGTCATCCTAGCTATCAGTGTTAATACTGGAGTGTATTTACTTTCAGTCTTTTCCCACAGCATGTATGGCTATTTTGCATGTCGTAATACAACGCACACATAACACACAAATTCAGGCACGCATACACATATTTTTCTGCTTTGCTTTTTAAAATTTGACACTATGACCATCATCCCTTGCCATTAAGTATTCTTGGAAAACACAATTTTTAATAGACACATTAACATGCCAACGTGTACTTCTGCTTCTAGTCCAGATGGAGCAACAGGGACCAGATTTACCCTGCTGCCTGAAAGCAGGAAACAGACAAAATAAGCAAAACGAGAGTTTCAACATCGTGGACATTGGGCAATGACGTTAATGACCCCTGGGAGGCAGGAAACAAAGGGAGCCCTGTGAACGCCCAGCCTAATTCCCTGGAATCAGGCAGTGCAGGGAGGGGAAAGGCAGCGGAGCCCAGTGAACTCTGTGTTGAGAGCCGCAGAAGACCAAGGTGAATTGAGTTTGCAGGACAGAGCACCGGAGGGGAGAACTGCACAGAGAAAATTTCGAAGAACCGCAAAGGATGCCCACCGAGCGTTCAGTGAAGTATGATCAGTGCATACACGTAAGGAAGTTACCTGAGGCTGAGGCTCGGGAAAGTGGCAACAATGCCAAGGGCTCGCCCAGGGAAGGAAGGAATATCTGTTCTCACAAGGCAGACTGGAGAACCTCAGGGTTCATAAGGCAATGGGGAGAGTATGACCTTGCCTCAGCAATGGGGAAGAACTATCCTTAGATTACCCGCTGCTTTGACCCCACCTGAAAAATCAAGACCCAAGAGGATCAAACTATTTCCCAGTAACATAGCTGTGTCCCAGAACAAAGCTCAAGAAGTGTTACAGGAACACAAAAATATTCAGCACCCAACAAGGTAAAATTCACAATGTCTAGAACCCAGTCGAAGTTTACCAGGTATGCAAAGAGGCAGGAGGATTTGACTCATAAAAGGAGGAAAATCAATCAATCAATCAATCAATCTGTTTTGATAAAATAGGCCCAGATTTGGCAGAGATATTACAATTAGCAAACAAGAACATTAAAATAATTGTTATAAACCAGTAATTATATTACTATATTTCCTATATTCAAAAAATTAAGTAGAGATGTTAAAAAGACAGTAAAAAGATCCTAATCAAACTTCTAGAAATGAAAACAACATCGGAGATGAAAGATACACTGGCTGGGATCAACAGCAAAGTAGACACTGCAGGAAAAAAGAGCAGTGCACTCAAGGACACAGCAATTCGAACTCTCCTAAAGGAAACACCCAAAGAAAAATTTTTTTACAATGTTTACAGTGTATCAGTGAGCTGAGCCCTGGAACAACGTTAAGAGGTCTCATAGATGTGTGACAGTCCTCAAAGGAGAGCAGGAGACAGAAAAAAACACTTGAAGAAATAATGACCCCCACATTTTCCAAATTTGGTGAAAATTATAATGGATCCCAAGCACAAGAATTAGGAAAAAAAACTATACCAAGGGGCATCATAATAAAATTGCTCTAATGATAAAATCTTGGAAGCAGCCAGAAATAAAAAAGACATGTTCCACGCAGAGGAACAAAGATTAGGATGAGAGGTTGCTTTGTGCAAACAATGCAGGAAAGAAGACAGTGAAGCATCTTTAACTTACAGTGAAAAAAAACCCCTATCAGCCTAGAATTTCATACCCAGTGAAAACAACTTTCAAAAATGAAGGCAACCTAAAATGTGTTAGGATGGATTATCAAAAAACAAAACAAACAAAAACCCGGAAAATAACACGTGATGGTGAAGATGTGGAGAAATTGAAACCCTGGTGTACCGTTGGTGGGAACGCAAAATGGTATAGCTGCTGTGGAAAACAGTATGACAGGTCCTCAAAAAAGATTAAACATAGAATTACCATACAATCCAGCAATCCCACTTTTGGCTATATACCTGAAAGAATTGAATGCAGGACTTGAAAACGTATTTGTACATCCCCATTCCTAGTGGCATGATTCACAATAGCTAAAACATGGGAACAACCCAATGTCCATCAACAGATTAATGGATAAGCAAAATGTGGTGTTTGTGTGTGTGTGTGTATATATATATATACACACACACACAATGAAATATTGTTCACCCTTTAAAAGGAAGAAAATTCTGCAATATGCTATAAGATGAATGAACCTTAAGGACATTACGCCAAGCAAAATAGATAGGCACAAAAAAACAAATACTGTATGATTCCACTTATGAAGTACACTGAGTAGCCAAAATCACAAAGATAGAATTTGTTCAGTGTACTCTGAAAAACAGTTAAGATGACTGTGGCGCCTGGCGGGCTCAGTCTGTGGAGCATGTGACTCTTGATCTCAGGGTCGTGAGTTCAAGACCCATATTGGGCATGGAGCCTACTTAAAAAATATGGTTTGGCAACTGGGTGGGTCTGCTGGTTAAGCGTCTGCCTTGATTTCAGCTCAGGGGCGTGAGATCAAGCCCTGCAGTGGGCTCCATGTTGGGCATGGAACCTGCTTAAGATTCTCTCTCTCCCTCTCTCTGCCCCTCTCCCCACCGACAACAAAATAGGTCAAGATGAGAAATTTTATGTTATATGTAGTTCCCCAAAATAAAAAAGAAATGTAAAGGAAATGAAGGCAAAAACAAGAAAAATATTTTCAGACATTACCATAGCTGAAAGCTTCGTCACCAGCAAAATCACCATACAAGAAATGTTGAAGGAATTCCTTCAGGCAGAAAGAAAAATGAAACCAGATGGAAACACGAGGCAATGAAGAAATGGTAACTACATCGGTAAGTATGTAAGATTTTTTTCTTATTATTCATATTTCTTCGAAAGATAACAGACTTTTAAATAACAGTGGGGTTTACAACATATAAAAGTATGACAACGATAGCACAAAGGTGGAAAGAAGAGAACCGGAAGTACTTTAATGTTAAAGACCCTTACAATACACATGACATAGGATGCTATCATTTGAAGGTAGACTGGGATAAGTGAAGTGCAAACTATAAATCCTAAAACAACCGCCAAAAGAACAAAACATAAAGTTACAGGTAAGCCAACCAAAGAGTTAAAACAGGATTACAAAAATGATTCCATAATCCAAATGAAGGCAAAAAAAAAAAAAAAAAAAAAAAAGGGAACAAAGAACAAAGGGACAAATAGAAGACAAAGAACAAGGTGACAGATTTAAATCAAACCTTATTGATAATGGCATTAAATAAAAATGGCTTTAACGTCTCAGTTAAAAGGCAGAGATTGTCAGATCGGATTAAAAAGCAGTATCTAACTATATGTTGCCTGCAAGGAACACGCTTTAAATATAAGTGGACACCATGCCACCACTAGTCAAGAGAGAGATGAAATGACTTTATTAATCATATCAGATAAAGTAGATCTCAAAGAAGGTAACTAGGAATAAAATGAGTCATTTCCTAATGATAAAGGGATTCATCAAGAGGACATAAATCATTCAATCAAGAGGACATAAAAATCCTAAACATTTATATACCTATTAGCAGAGCTTCAAAATACATGAAGCAAAACCTGATGGAGCTCTAAGAGAACTAAATCCACAATCACAGGCAGAGATTTCAATATCTCTCTTTCAATAATTGACAGCACAGAGAGAAAATTTGTAAGAATATAGAAAACTTGGAACAACAAACTTGAATCAACAAACTTGACCTAACTGACATGCCACCCTAAAGAGCAGAATATGTGTTAAAAAAAATGCACATGGAACATTTACCAAGATAGCCCATATTCTGGGCAATAAAGTAAGTCTCAGTAAGATGAAAAGGATTCTAATCATATAAAGTATGTTTTCTAACCATAACCGAATTAAATTAGGAATCGGTAATAGAAAGATCTCTGGGAAATTCCCAAATATTTGGAAACTGAATAACATGCTTCTAAATAACCCATGAGTGAAAGCAGTATCAAAAGGAAAACCAGGGATGCCTGGGTGGCTCAGTCGGTTGAGTGTCTGGCCCTTGATCTCAGCTCAGGTCATAATCCCAGGGTCATGGGACTGAGCCCCACGTCAGACTCTGCACTGAGCATGGAGCCTGCTTAACATTTTCTTTCCCTCTCTCTCTGCTTCTCGTCTGTGCACACACTCACTCTCTCTCTTAAAAAAAAGAAAAAAGAGAAACCAGAAAGTATTTTGAACTAAATGAATGTGAAGAGATTCAAAATTTGTGGGATTGTTTTAAAACTGTGCTTAGGGGGAAAATTTATAGCACTAAACATCTATATTAGAAAAAAAGGCCTAAATCAATTACCTCAGCTTTCAACTTAAAAAAACTAGACCAAATTAAGTGTAAAATTAAATGCAAAGTAAGTAAAAGAAAGGAATTAAGAAAGATCAAAGCAGAAGTCAATGAAATAGAAAACAAACAAACCAAAAGTAGAGAAAAATCAATGAAACCGAAGCTACTTCTGTGAGAAGATCAGTATAGTTGACTAACCTCTAGCTAGACTGGTCGGGAAGAAGAGAAGAGTCACAAATGACCAATATCAGGAATGAAACATGTGGCATCACTACAGATTCTACAGGTGTTCAAAAGACAGTAGGGGAGTATCATGAATAACCTAATGTCAATTCATTATACAACTTGAAATAGACAAACAGCTTTAGAGACACAAACTACCAAGCTCACCAAGAAGAAACAAACTGAAGAGTCATAGTGCTATTATAAATTTTTATTTTGTAGATAAAAACTTGCTCACAAAGAAAAATCCAGGCCCAGATGGTTTCACTGTTAATTCTACTAATTACTGCATGAAGAAATAATACCAATTTTATACAAACACCTCCAGAAAAATGAAAAGGAAGGAGTACTCCCAACTCATTCTTAGGGACTTATTATAAAGCGACAGCAATTGAGACTGTATGGTATTGGCATACAGATGGGCAAACAGATCAACAGAACAGAAGATTCTAGAAACAGACCTACGTATATGAAAAATGATTTTCAACAAAGGAGCAAAGCCAATTCAGTGGAGAAAAGATTATCTCTTCAACAAAAGGGGCTAGAACAACAGGAAATCCACATACAAAAAAATATTTTTTCACCCACATTTGATACCATATGCAAAAATTAACTCCAAATGGATCAAGGTCTTAAATGTAAAACAGAAAACTGTAATACTTCTAGAAGAAAACATAGGACTAGGGCAAGACTTCTTAAATAAGACATCACAAATACAACCTATGAAAGAAATGAATATACTGAACTCCAAAGTTAACTCTGGTTTTCAAAAGAAGTCAAAAACTGGAGAAAATATTTGCAAATTGTGTATCTGATGAAGGACTTGTTTCTAGAATATATAATAGGAAAGCAACCCAATAAAAAGACTCAACCTAAGATTTGAACAGGCACTTCACCAAAAAAGATACACAAATGGCAAGTATGCACATGGAAAGATGCCCATCGTCAGTCATTAGGAAAATGGAAGTTAAACCACAACGAGCTACCACTACAGACCCATTAGGATTAAGACCAACCACACCAAGTTTATGATGATGTGGAGCCACTGGAACGCTCGTGGGAATGTGAAATGCGACAACCGCTTTAGAAAACAATTTAACCATTTCTTAAAAAGTTAACCATACTCCCATCATAGGATCCACCTATCCCACTTCCAAGTATTTACCCAAAAGAAAGTATAGGTCCATATAGAGACTGTACACAAATGCTCCTAGCCACTCGGTAATAGCCCCAAACTGGAAACAACCCAAATGTCCATCGATAAGTGAATGGGTAAACAAACTGTGATCTACATAAACAATGGAATACTACTCATCAGTAAAACAGAACGCACTTCTGATACTTGCTTCAACATGGATGTATCTCAAAATTACTATGCTGAGTGAGGGGCACCTGAGTGGCTCAGTTGGTTGAGTGTCTGACTTCGGCTCAGGTCATGATCTCCTGGTTTGTGGGTTTGAGCCCCGAGTCAGGCTCTGTGCTGACAGCCTGGAGCCTGGAGCCTGCTTCAGACTCTGTGTCTCCCTCTCTCTGCCCCTCCCCCCCCCCTCAAAAATAAATAATCATTAAAAAAAAATTATGCTGAGTGAAAGTTGTCAGACAAAATAAAAAAGAGTACCTAATGCCTGATGCCATTTATATGAAACTCGACATACAAACTAATGATACAAAGCAGGCCATTATTTGCCTAGGAATGTGGGGGGAAGAGGCAGGTAGGGGGCTAAACAAGGGATTCCCAAGGGGCACAAGGAAACTTCTGGGGGCAATGGGTATGTTCATTGTCTTGATTGTGCATACATATGCCAAAATTTATTGTCATGGGACACCTGTGCACTATTTCATATCAAGTATATATCAATACAGCTGCTTAGGAAAAAAAGAAAAGACACAGGGACATTAAGCAACATGGCCAAGGCCTCACAACAAAATGCCATAGTGTGGATACACCATATCTAATAACTCCCTACTACTAGGGTATTGTGTGATCTTCCATTAGAAATAAAATTGTGACAGAAAGAGAAGGAGGGAGGGAGGGAAAGAGAGAGAAAGAAAGAGAGAGAAAGGAAAGAAGGAAGGAAGTAAAGAAAAGAAAAAAGTAAAGGAAAGAAAAGAGAGAGGGAGAAAGAGAAGAAGCAAAGGAAGGAAGGTAGGAAGGAAGGAAGAAGTGATACAATCCCCCTGTGCTGTCTTTGATTTAGACTTATTTCCTTTTTCCTTATGCCAGGTTTCAAGAAAAACCATTGGACAGAACAAAGATTAAGCACATGTCTAAGTCTATTAACAAGTGGGTCACCCTTCCTCCTTGCCGCCTCCAAAGCCCATTTTTTACCAGAATGCTTCCTTACTGGGAAGGGGTAATAGGTTGCATTTTCTCTCTCCTCTTTGCCCACGATTACCCCATCCTTTCTTCCCATGGAACTGCTGACAATCAACAGGTCTCCCTGAGCTCAATTTGCCCCTCCTGGGGAACAAGGCTATGACTGATCTCTTCCAAAGCTATGAGGTTTTGAAAGATGGCAGAGCCTTCTGTGATGACCAGGGGTCTTGGTCCCGTCCCCGCCGGGGTCTTCTTGGTTGAAGTCTCCCTGTGAGTCACTTGCACCAGGGGAAGTGCCCCACCTGCTCCCCGAGCCAGGGAACTGTGGCACCCTCACCTGTTTCTTGGTGTCTACCTCCAGAATGTCCATCAGGTTGATCATGATGTTTTTGTGTGTCTTCTTGTACTTCCCGACCCGCAGCGAGACAGTGAGCCAGCCGGGGCGTCCCGTGCACATGAAAGTCTTGCTGCCCTGCTCCTTCCATTCCCGAACCTGCAACAGTGGGACAGAGACTGAGCTGGCCCCACCAGGGGTCCCCAGAGCAGCTCGCGGCCCTGTTTTCACGAGAGGGCGCCTGGAGTGACGCCTTCCCGTGTGAGCAAATATTTACTGAGCCTCTGCATCCTGCCAGGCCCTGGCAGGCCCACAGGCCTTTCCCTCTGAAACCTCCCCGGCTAGTGTGGCCAACAGAAAAGCCGAGGTGTTACCACACCCCCAAAACAGGATGAAGAAAGAGCTAAAAAACAGGATCAAAGTGCTATGGAAACAACTCTAACTGGGAAGCTCGGGAAAGGTTTTGTAGCCGTCATAACACAACCTGACAAGGGAAAACCATTTACTGGGTGCCCCCACTGTGCCAGGCACCCACTGTACACTGTGGGTACTTTAATTCTCCCAGCAACCCCAGCAGGGCGGGATGACCAGCCCTCTTTTGTAGGTGAGAAAACCGAGAAGCAGAATAATTTGGTCAATCAACCAGTGAAGGGCAGAGCCCAGATTCACAGGCAGGACTGTCCAACTTCAGACCTGGAAAGATAGATGTGCTTGAGTTAACGGTCAAGAACAGAATAACAGTTAACACTCATTACTGAGGCTCATTATGTGCCAAGCCCTGTTCTAAGCATGTGTGTGTATGTGTGTGTATGTGTGTGTGTGTGTGTTAACCCGTGTCACTTGAAGGGTGAGAGTAGGGGCAGGGAAGGACCACCAATCCGATGGAAGGAAGAGCTTTGCAAAACCTCTACTCTAAGTGACCAGAACACAAAACACCGAGAGCAAACGGCGAGGTGCCATGCCTATCAGGAACATGGGAGGAAGTGTCCCCTTCCTACTGAGAAGGACATCTGTCGCTGTGAGCTTCGACCACCCATTTCCTCATCATATGCTTCTAATATTCCCATCTTCCTTTGGTCCAGGTGATGCTGAGTCTAGCCCTGCCCCAGAAGGTGGGCACAGGACTGAGGTCTGATTCCATCCTTCGGGCCATAGTGACAGGTTCAGGGATGGGCCCAGGATCCCAGTCAAGACAGTAAGACCTGTTCTAGGAGAGGCGCTCCCATTTTACTGGGGTTGCTGAGCTGGTTGGATGAAACTGCTGGGGTTTCCACAGGGAAACGGGTCTCCCTGAGAATGAGGTCAACCCGGAGGAAAGCAGAGCCAAAAGATGGCAGAGGGATGGAGAGTTGGGAGATTAGGGACAGGCGATCCTGGATCCAGTCATACCTGAGCCAGTTTTACTCCTGGACTTTTCAGGACCTGGGCCAATAAAATCCCTTTTTGTTCAGGCCAATCTGAGTTTGGATCCTATCACATGCAACCAAGTTGTGGAGGACGTTGCATTGAAGCAAGAGCTGTTTGTGAGGCAAACCGCTCAACATGGGGGAGAACTTTCCTACCATCAGAGGCCAGAGCACCCTGTGAAACACAGGTGTTCGAGCAGAGGAGGGTTACTGAGGAAGAGATTTCTGTGAAGGGGTGAGAGGTGGGATTCCACCATCAAGCAGGCCTTGCCCCTGCCTGACTCTGCAGTCCCAGGACTTCAAACTCAGCGGTGCAGGAAATGGATTGTGGGTGCGTCGGATGGGCCACAGGAAGTGAGTCTGAGGTTTTAAAGCCTGAACCACCGGTTGGACTGGATCCTGATGCGAACCAAACAAGAATCTGGGCAGGGAGGCAATGTTCTTGTGACCACGTGCCAGAGAGAGGTGGGGACGGCCAAGATAAGGGGCAACTACTTAAGTGGCTGGTCAGATGGCTGTTACCACGAGCTAGGTGTGAGGCAACAGAACCAGACCTTCTGGGTGGAATGGAAAGGGCTGGGAAAGAAGATAGGTCAGAGTTCAGGCTCTAAAACCAGGCTGACCTGGGCCTGGGGTCCAGCCCCATTTACTAGCTATACCCACTTGGACACATCACTACAGCTTCAGCTTCAATTTTTCCACCTGTAAAACAGGCATAAGACCTACCAGGGTTGCCGTGAGATTAGAAATGATGGACATCAGGGGCACAGGCGGTGGCACATGGCAGGTCCAAGGCAGTGGGCTGGTTTGGGCAAGCCCCTTGTCTTCCTGTCCAGTGAACCCTATGGCTTCGTTCAGGTGAACAAGCGCTCACTGGGCTGCTCTGGGCCAGACCCCATGGGCCCGATGTGAGTTGGACAACAGTCCTTGCCTTCAAGGAGCTCACACTCTGATTGGTCGGGAGGAGGGGGGGCGGTGACAAATACATGGAGAATCTGAATAAGTGGAAAGAGCTAGGAAAGAGGGTGCAACTGGGAAGGGAGGGTAGGCAGGGCTCTGGAGCTGTGACTGATCAACTGAGGCCAGGGCAGCCCACGCAAAGCAGTTCCAGACGCTGCATCCTGCCACCCAGTCCAAGGTCTTATCCTTCATGGGAGTGGCCCTCAGCATCCATCTTCCCACTCTTGCTTGCAGCACCCAGCCCTGCGCCAACAGAACATGGAGGCTGCTACACCTGCGGTGAGGGTGGTGGCAGGAAACAGAAGCTCCTTGCAACCTAACACCCCTAAGAGAGGAACATAAGCAGGGGCAGAGGGAGCCAAGAAAATGCCCAGACCCGATGCTCATGCCAACGCTGGGCACGGAGAAGGAGGCTCCACTGTGAGCACCGGCTGGGGCACAGGCTCCGGAGGCGCACTTCCAGAGTTACTGGAGATGCCTCCCCAAGGAGTGAACGCCAGGCCCAGAGCCGCGCCGCGAGGCTCCTCGCCCTGGCTGGGTGCTACTTTCTCACTTTAGTCCTTCAGTCTACAGGAATCCACAGCTCCCGGCTGCTACAGAGTAAACTCCAAACTCAAGGCCCCGCCCCACCCTAGCTCGGAACTGCCTTCCAACCTTCTCCCGCTCTGGACCTTGGCTCAAATCCGACCCTCCCCCTGACACCTCTTCCTCCCTACTTCCCAGTCTCTAGTGCCAGCTCCACCTCCCAGAGGGCCTCCCCGCTCTGAGACCGCTTGGGACTGGTGGCAGCCACCTGTGCACGGCTCACCTTCCCCTATCTCGTGATCCTTTATATCCCTCTGGGGACCCGCACGTGCTCCGCACATAGTAGGCACTCCACAGACACCGAGCAACGTTCTGTCCCCCGAAGGCCTTTGCTCACTCCGTTCCCTCTCCGGGAAGCACCACCCCCCCATCACATTTTGAGTTCAAACCCCCCTCCAAAACCGGCGCACGGCCCGCCACCTCGCACCCGGCGTGGCGCTCTCAGCGCGCACGACCGAGTGCCGCGGACCAGCTCCGGTGTGCCCCGCCCGGCGTCGCTCACCTGCTTCTGGATGTCCCGCACACGCTGCCCGTGCAGCCGCGGCGCGCTGCTGAGCTTGAACACCACCCAGGCGCGCACGTAGTAGTAGATGTCGAAGATGAGCGAGAGCGGCAGGAGGAAGAGGCACACGAACACCCAGCGCTGGTGGATGAGCACGAACTCCAGCCCCTTCACGCGAACCCAGAGCAGGAAGAGCAGCGCGCACACGGCCAGCGACACGGCGGGCTCCATGGTGGGGCCAGCGGCGCGCCGCGCGGGGGAGGGGGTGCCAGCTCGCGCCGCCTGTCACCACCACCCGCTCCTCGCCCGCCTGCGCCCGCGCCGCCCGCAGCCCGCTCCCGGGGAGTCTTGGGGTCGCGTCGCCGCCTCGCGATTGGCTGGGGTCGCAAAGGTTCGGTGGGCCGAGACCCGGCTGGCGGCCAATGGTGAGCCGCGCCGGAGATCGGACCAGGAAACCGCTGCTTTTATTGGCTGCGGGAGTCAGGCCGCTCCACCCTCTTCTCTCCGACGCGTGGGGAGGGGTGGCCGGGGACACGCGCGCTGGTGGGGTCAACTGCGCCCTGCGGTGCTGGAGGCTGTGCGGACGCGGGCGGCGGCGGTCGAGGGATGCGGCTGCTGCCCCTGCTCCTTAAGTGGTGCCTCCTCGAGGGTCGCGTTAAGTGGTCATGCGTTGGGTTACTTCCGACGGGTGCGGTGGGGGCTCCCCACCGCCCTGGGTCAGCCACCCTGCAGCTTGGCCCAGGATTCCTGTCCCGGCCGGCCGGAGAGGATGCAAACCTGGCCTTGACCTCGGCAGGTCAGGTCACTCCGTGCCCGCAAGACCACACAACGCACCTTTTATTTAGTCTTGAGGCGCTTCTGTAGATTCATTTGAGTTACACAGCAGTTCTTTTTGGGCGGTGGGTAGTAGTGTGAGCCCCATTTTATCCACGAGGAAACATTCCAGAAGCGTGAAGACCTGTCCCTGAACTCCAAAAGGCTTTTGAGGGACAGGCTGTGGTCAGCACCCTTCCCCGTTTTCCACTTGCCTGAGGCAGATAGGCAGGACTGGAGGGGGAAGAAGGAAGGAAGGAGTCCCAGCCATTGCAAACGCAGTAGCGGCCACTGTGCCCTGCAGTGTCGCAAGCCCCAGGGGTGGGGTGCTCTGGGGCAGTCAGTACAGAGGAGTCATGACTGTTACCGGCGTTTCACCTCAATTCTGTAGAAAGCAGGTTGTTTTTTCTAATATTTTGGAAAGTGTAAGAGATTTTTATTTTAGAAGCTAAACATGACTGATCAGGTCCTACACCGGTCCTGCTTACCTATCCACTTCCCTCTCTTTCATCTTTGCAGAAACATGCACTCTTAGGTGGTTCCCTGGACCCCATTATCCCTCATTTTTTCATTGCCTCTGCTCACGCCGGCACCTCTGGAATGCTCTTACCCAGGTCCTTAGTAGAGCTAACCTTAAACACATCCTTGAAACCAGCTCAGGGCCACCTCTAAAACTACATTTATGGCACTTCCTTCCCCTTTCAGGTGCTCAAAAAAGAGAGTGCATCTGTCACGATTCTTTCACGTTATTTTTAAAGTATCTATGTGTCTTTCACCCCCACAGACAGCTTTAGGGCACATGATGTCTCGTTCACTTTTGTATTTCCAGTTTCTAGCATAATGCTTGATGTTAGACACTCCGGCTTTTGTTGACCAATGAATGAATGAAGAATGTGGGCTGAGGCTCAAATATTCATTGGGCTTTAAAAATGAATAGTCTAGGGGCGCCTGGGTGGCTCAGTGAGTCAGGCGTCTGACTCTTGATTTCTGTTCAGGTCATGATCTCACAGTTCATGGTTTTGAGGCCCGCACTGGGTTCTGTGCTGACAGTGCGGAGTCTGCTTCGAATTCTCTCTCCCCCTCTCTCTGCCCCTCCTCTGCTCGTGCTCTTCTCTTTCTCTCAAAACCAATAAACTTACAAAAAAAAAAAAAGAATAGACCTGTTTTGTCTTATACAACAGCTCCTAGCTATTGGCTTGTGGCCAATCCAAGCTGAGATGTACTTTAAGTGTAAAATACACTGGATTTCAAAGGCAGTACAAAAAAGAGAATGCAAAATATTTCATTAATAATTTTTATATTGATTACACATTGAAATGATGTTTTGATGCCCTGGGCTAAATAAAATATTGAAGTTGATCTCACTTGCCGCGTTTGCTTTTTAAAGGTGGCTACTAAAAATTGTTAAATGACAGATTTGTCTCAAGTTCTGTCTCTCTGAAGCTCCAGTCAAGAGGGGGCAATTGAAATGCAAACTTCATACACGAAGTTACCCTGCAGCCACTATGGAAAAGGCCTTTCCTCTGCTTCCTCTGCCTGAACTCAAACATTGGAACTGTTAGAGAGGGCTTTGCTTTAAAAGCTTAACCATCCTAAAACAACAACAATAACAAAAAAGCAAAAAAAAAAAAAAAAAAAAGGAAAACACACACACACACAAAAACCTTAACCATTCTGAGCGTCGTTGGACTATTAGGTGATTGGGAAAGTTAAGTTCCACCTAAACATCACCGTTAGACTGAAGCGTGTTGTCCTTTGTAGGAGAAACCTCGAAATGACTGCTGATCAGGATAGTTTACACTAGGGAAGAGGAGGAAGAAGCCTCAATAAGACTGAGAACTCTCAAAGAAGGAAAGGAACAAAAACATACTCAGAACAGTTGTTTACCCAGCCCGCATGTTCTCATTCTCTCTTCCTGCCTACCCGCCTGCGTCTTTGATTCTTCTTTTCTGTCTCCATAAACCTCAACCTTTGGGGCTGCTATTGTCCAGGTGAGAAAAATAGTAACCTCCAGTTGGGCCAATTAATTAATTTTACCTTTTAAATGAACATGTAGCAAAAGGGCTTATGATTGTGTACCGTTTATGAATGTTAGCACATGGAGGGGTTCTTGTAACCACCAACACAATCATCACCCCCAAAAACTCCCTCCTTTGAGGTCATGTCCTTCTCCCACCTTTAGCCTCTGGTGACCACAGCTGTGTTCTCAGTTGTATAGTTTTGTCTTTTCCAGAGGTAAAGGTCATATGAACAGTATCAAATCATACAGTTTATTACCTTGGGTCCGTTAATTGTTGGTAGAGGATTATTTATAGTGGTAAAACACATACAACAATGATCATTGTAGCTATTTTTAAGTGGGACAGTTCAGTGGTATTAAATACATTCACATTGTAGTGCATCTATCACCACCATTCAGCCCCATAATTCCTTTCGTCTGAAACTGTGCTTTTAACACAATAACTCCCCGTTCTCCCCTCCCCCTCTCATCTCATTCAGAGAGAAGAACCACCATTCTTGACTTGAGTTTGACTACTCAAAGTTTCTCATAGAAGTAGCTTACTTCATTTAGCATCATGTCCTCAAGGTTCATCCTCGTTGTAGCATACTACAGAATTTCCTTCCTTTTTAAGGTCGAAATATCCCATTGTATGTACCGCTTTTGACTTATCCATTCATCCATTGATGAACACTTGGGTTGGCTCCGTGTGTTAGCCATGTCCACAATGCTGCTATCAACATGGGTGGACAAATATCCTTTCGAGATCTTGCTTTCAATTCTTTTGGGTATATACCCAGAAGTGGGCTTGCCGGATCCGATGATAATTTTATGCTTAACAGGAAACTGTTTTCCACAGCAGCTGCACCATTTTCTGTCTTCACCAACAATACACAAGGGTTTCCATTTTCTCCACATCCTTGTCAACACTTGTTTTCTGGGTTTTGGTTTGCATTTTCTTTTTCATAGTGGCTGTACTAGTGGGTGCAAGGTGGTAACTTGTTGTGGTTGTGATTTGCATTTCCCAAATGGTGAGTGATGTTGAGCATCTTTTCATGGGCTTATTAGCCATTCATATACCTTCTTTGGAGAAATGTCTGCTGAAATCTTTTGCCCATTTTTGAATCGGGTTTGTGGTTTTTGGGGTTTTTTTGGTCATTGTTGAGTTTTAGGAGTGCTCTATGTATTCTATATATTAATCCCGTACCAGGTATATGATTTGCAAATATTTTCCCCATCCGTGGGTGTTGGGTCATTAATTTGTGCCCAAGTCAAGGAAGCTCCCTTTGGTGGGGAGTCTCTTCATAAATGCACATTGTTGTTAATAACTGTACATTATTTACATGAAAGCCCAGTCAGAATGCTTAGGAATAGGATGTTCTGGTGAACAAGCTCTCAGATTAACTGGAGAGTCAGCAAAATCACTTTTATAGTTTGACAACGTAGCAGACTTCCTATAATGTGCATCCCCGTTTCTTTCATAATGAATATAACCTAATCAATACAAATCGTTGTTTTGTTTTTTTTTTAAGAGGAAGAGAGAGCGGTGGGAGGGGAGAGAGAGAGAGAAGCTCAAGCAGGCTCCACACTCAGGCGGAGCCTGACACGGAACTTGATCCCACTACCCTGGGATCATGACCTGAGCCAAAATTAAGACTTGGACACTCAACCGACTGAGCCACCGAGCACCCCAATAATTTTTTTTATGAAGGAGCTCAATAAACACCAGAGTCCTAACAAAGAGCATCTCCTTATATGCATACAATACATCTACTGAGATTGTTTGGTCCTTGCGATTAGTCTGAGGGGTAGCAATGCAGCAGACTATTGATCTATATTGTTTTATTAAAAAAAATTTTTTTTAAATGTTTTTATTTATTTTTGAGACAGAGAGACAACAATGAGGAGCAGGGGATGGGGCCCAGAGAAGAGAAAGGCTAGAATCTAAGAAGCAGGCTCCAGGCTCTGAGCAGTCAGCACAGAGCCTGACGTGAACTCAGGCTCACAGGCTGGCAGGATGTGACCTGAGCTGAAGTCAGACAACCCAGCAAACTGAGCCACCCAGGTGCCCCGATCCATATTGTTTTTAATAAATAGGGACATCAGACTTGGGGGGCCTAAACCTGCCTGATCAGTGTCTTAATCTGGTGAATAGATAAGCCAAAATATGGCTCTCATCTTCTGGATTTTTCCATCACTTGAATACGCTCCCTTGATTACTGGGGGAAGTGCCGTTTCCTGTGGTTCAGTTCCATGACATAAAGTGGAAATTTCAGAATAGGGTTTCTTAAAATGTAGTCTGCAGACAATCCACCTCAGAACGCTGGCCAAAATGCCAGTTCCTGGACTCACACATCCCACTGCATCTAAGCCTGAGAGGTGAGGTCCCGGGGAATTGGCACTTTTTCAACGTTTATTT